TCCTGACCTTTTGGGTATATGTGGATGTTGGTTCAAGTCTGGCTACTTCATTTTGACAAGAGATGAAGTGGGGAGGGGTAGTCTGGAGCTGGCTAGACTCAAGCTCAGTGGGAGGTATGGGTGGAGAAGCATTTGGTTAGCTGCCATCCCGAAGACCTCAGGAGACTGTTTCTTGAGGAGGTGGATAAGGTGGGTTGCTAGGAGAAACAAATAGATTATTAACACTGGCTCTATGAATGGGGCTAGCCATGGGAAAATGGCGTAGAAATTGGAGCTGGTTATACAGAAGAGGCAAGGGTAAATGAGCCCAACGAAAGAGCAGATGCCCTTGAGTCTGGAGAGGTGGGGCCAGCACTGATGCTCCAGGAGTTTGAGGGGATGGCATGCCAAATCGAGGGATGGTGTGTTCTCCTGCAGCAACTGAGCCATCACATCTGCTGTTTCTCTGGAGGTGGAAATGTCTCTATCTGTCCTTTAAAAGTGTCAACAAGAGTTAGGAGATAACAGAGGTTTTTATGAGTGGGCATGTGGGTGAAGTCAACCTGACAGCTTTTGTTCAGTTGGTGTCTTCAAAGCTGGTGCAGGGTCTGACACATCTGCAGAGCCAAGCTGGTGCAAGGGATGGTATATCTTGAGGGACCGTGTGGGTTGGGCTTGACCCCGTGGGTTCCTTTTCCAGGAACATGCAGGTACCTGTAAAATAGCTGGAGTAAACTTTCACCTTGGTGTCATAGCAAAAGACTTTGGCTTTGGATTAAAAGGCATGCACATTTTTCATAGGGATGTTGGGAGATGTCATTCTGTAAATGTGTGTCTGATTGGTTTGAATGAAGCACTGTTGGCCAATAGGGAAACAAGATAGGTGGGACTAGGAGTCTAGGAGGATTCTGGGAATTATAGTGAGGAGAGTTCTCCCATGTGATCTCCCAGGAGCAACGGGTGCTCAGGAGTGCATCCTCAAAAAGATAAGTTCTTACAAAATATGTATTAGTAATTATGGGTTAATAATCAAATCAGAGTTAGCTGATAAGAAACCAAGCCAACAGCCAACAGCTTCATAATTATTATAGTGTCCTGTGGATTACTTGGGGGCTCAGGCAGCTCAGCAGGGCCCAAGCGGCTGGCAGGAAGACTACATCTTACAGGGCCTTGTTTAAGCCCAGTGAAAGACATCTTTAAGTCTAAACTCACTGAAAAAAAGAATTTGAGCAAGTGGAGGCAGAGGGATTTGCCTATGCCTGCTGGTGGGCGTTGCCCATCCCTGCTGGTGGGTGTTGCCCATTCCTGCTGGGTTCCATACCTCCTTCGATGCTAACCTGTTTCAGACAGGAAGGAGTTGGCTTTTAGCGGAGGTTCATCATATGTGGTTGGATGCAGTACAGTAATGCCGAAAAAGCTTTATGTAGTCTTAAAGTCAGAATCAGTAAAATCTACAGAAATTTTAAGAACTGAAAACTGTTGTTATTGCTTTGTCAGCTTATCAAAATTGCATTTATCAGTGCTAAAACTCTGAACCTAAACCTCCAAAGTTCCATCTGTAACTTGTTTATCCCATACCATGAAATCTGTGAATGAGACACACATTTCTGTATTTTTAATTCCCACTATTAACCTAGGATAGTTTGATATGAAAAGAGGCTTCTAGTTTAAAACTTGTCTTTATTTCTTCTTGAGACACTCAGTATTAATTTCTCTTCTCCCACACTCTAAACCCCTGGTAACTTACAACCACTCATCATTTACTTACTTTGATTTAGTATCACATTATTTATAGTAATGCCATGTTATAATCTCGGTCACACATTCTCTGTCTGTCTGTCTGTCTGTCTCTTTCCATCTATTTTACTGTGACAAGATCAAGGTCATTCTGAATTCTGATATATATCAATAATATACTAAAATATCATTCTGGCAATCAGGTGATCAAAGGACATCATTAGCACAGCTAAATTCTCTAGGAGTGCACTCAGGAGGGTTTCATTTTTGTTTGTGCAGTGATGGCTACATAACTATACAGTAGATATTTCTTCTGATATTCTGTAACTGACAAGTGGTCATTTGCTTCACACTCTTGTGGACAAATGCTAACTTCTGGTTGTTTTTTTCAACTTAGTTCACACTTTGTGGCATAAAAGCATTTGTAAGCATCTTTACAAGAAATCTCACCTCAAATCTGCTATTCTTAGTAGAGCTATTGCAAATTCCTAGTAGCCACAAACAGCTAATCTTCAGTGTTCTCACACCATCATTTGAATCTTCTGCTTAGAGCATTAGATTTCTTTTCATTCTATTGTTATTTCCAATTCATCCCCACAGCTTTTTAAAAAAATTTTAAATTAGAAACAAGCTTGCTTCACATGTCAATCCCAGCTCCCTCTCCCTCCCCTCCTCCCCTGACCCACTTCAACCCCTCCAGCCCCCCACCCAGTCCCCACTCCACTCTCCAGGGAGGGTGAGGCCCTCCATGGGGGATCTCCAGAGTCTGTCATATCATCAGAGTCAGTGCCTAGGCCCTCCCCCATGTATCCAGGCTGAGACAGTATCCCTCCACGTGGAAGGGGCTTCCAAAGTCCATCTGGATGCCAGGGATAAATGCTGATCTATTGTTCAAGGCCCCTCACTGATACCCACGTTCAGGGGGTCTGGATCAGTTCCATGCTGGCCTCTCAGCCATCAGTCTGGGGTCCATGTTTTCCCCCTTGTTCAGGTCAGCTGTTTCTGTTGGTTTCACCTGCCCAGTCTTAACCACTTTGCTCATCACTCCTCCCTCTCTGCAACTGGTTTCCAGGACTTCAGTTCAGTGTTTAGCTGTGGGTGTCTGCCTCTGCTTCCTTCATAGCTTTTATTGGCTGAAGGATTGCTTATTTAAGTGTGATCCTGAACAAACTTCCTACTTGGAATGTTTATTCACACATTCCCCATTTAAGGCTATACTATTTTGACAAAAGGAGTTTATGTGGCAGGAACTTCATCATTAACAAATTTCCTGGTGATTATTATATATAATAAAACACATTATGTAATTTCTCACATGAGTCACTTCATCTCTTCCCTAAGGACTTCATCTCTTCCCTAAGAGCAGCTTTGGGTGTTTCCCATTGCCTGCGTGTTTAACTCATGAAAATATTCCATCTACTGGGCACATATCTGTGGGTAACCAGGAAGAGGACTTTTCATTTGCCTGTATGGTTTTGATATATAAAATATATACTGGGTGCCTTCAATTGTCAAAAAGGCTGTTGCTCACTTAACCAGCCCCAGAGAAAGGAAATCCTTCTCACTTGGGCATCAGTGGGATCAATCACCCCACCACTTGGCCTAGAGACTGAAAGTGTCAGGCTCTGGGTTTTACACTACATAGCCACAGTTTTCCCCTGGAGGCAACTACCTTAGATATAATCTCTAGAGTTGAGAGGTCCCTTGCAATCAGCTAACATTTGGGGAATATGCTAAGATGGACCAAACACCACGGGAAAACACTCTTTTCTTCTTCTTAGAATTCTATACTGACTTAAAGCTCCCTCCTAAATTGATTCTCCCAGTATCTGACAGTGAGTTGCATAGCCACACTTCCCCTGAGCCATAGAGGAAGCTGGCAAGCTACTGTCCTATGTGAGTTTTTATCTGCTTTTACTACCTTGAGAAATTAAGCTCCATGATTCTGTGTTGCTTGAGACTTTTGGATGGCATGGGTATATAAAGTGGACACCTTGTGAGAGAGAGGAGATTGAGGTTGGAGAGTGAGATGGCAGAATAAGGAGACATGATGACAAGATGATGTGTATGAGCTGATTCGTTCCCTCACCCTCAGAAATCTTTAGTCAGTTCCCATGCTTGCTGTGGTGTTCCTTCTGGATCCTCAGAGGTTTCTGGGTTTGGTAGTCTAATGAGCCTCCATTGAATCACTCAAGATGGACAACTCAGAAAGTCTGGTACACTTGTCATAATTTTAGGTGTGGTTAAAAAAATGAGGCAGAGCCCTATGCTTGGCATTGAGTAAAATGGTTGTCATCCAAGAGTGACAACTGAGGAGGTTTCACTGGATCTTCAGTGCAATGTGAGACCCTAACATATGCTTACCCTCACTTCCTCCTCATCGTCAATGGTCTTGAGGCACGAGAGTGCTCCCCATACTGTGAGTGTGCACCTCCTGTCTTCTGGAGCTGGTAACTGTTCATAGTTCACATCTTTTGTCTACAATGGATTCATCAAGAGTCTATGGCAGTTTGAAGACAGCCAGCAGACTGATGCCACTGTCATGTAGTTGTGAGGGCCTGGTACAATACCACTCTGACCACAGAAAGTGATGTTACAGAAGCCCTGATTTTCTTCTCCTTTTTCACTTGTGATATCAGAATGTCTGACTTAGAGTTTGTAGTAGCTGGGCTAGGACTCTAGGCCTGAAAACCCTTGGAGGGGTTATCACATCCCATAAACCTAAGTCCTTCACTCTCTGTATCTCTGAGAGATGAAGTCCTTGACTCAGGTGAACATCGCTGTACCTGTATGGACTTTCTGGACAATGCTGAAAGACATGTGTGGCTCCCTCCTCATTACTGTTCCTACTGTGTCAGTCATTGTTTTGTTAATTATTTTTTTTAAATCCACATTCATATTTTCACTTCTACATTTCACAGCTTCCTTCACAGCATGAATATTTCAGGAGGATTTTATAGCTTCAATTCAATTCAAATAGCACCAAGGACTTTCTCATATTTTTATTTTCACAACAAGGCACAGTATATTTCCTGTGAGTGTGATGGGGAGGATTCCTCAGATTTTTGTTCAATAGTGATTGCTTTGTTTACCTCTGCTTTTAACTCAAAACAGATGATGAAAGGAAGAAGAACAAAAAATTCAGAGTAGATCACGTGTTATATCTTCTGTTTTAAAGATAAGAATGTGGAAACTCTGTGGTCATAGTGGGTACCTGTGGTAAAACCCTTAACTACAAGTGTGGGTGGGTGTGGACGAAGAGAACAGAGTGTTCATACCGGATTTCCTTTCACCTCACAGAGCTGGTCACTGTTCACAGTTCACATCTTTTGTCTACAATGGATTCATCAAGAGTCTGTGGCAGTTTGAAGACATCTAGGACCCCAGAGTACAAGCCTGTATCACTCTCATTTCTTCCCTCAGGTAAGTGACTTTATTTCTCCTTTTGGCATTTGAATATCTTCTAGAGTTAAGATTCTCATTATATTTCAGTTTAAAAAATCATTTATTTATTCTTTTTTTCAAAGACAGTTTCTGTTGTTTTTCTTTTCTTTTTTTGTGTGTATTTTTTAAAAATTTAAATTAGAAACAAGCTTGTTTTGCATGTCAATCCCAGTTCCCTCTCCATCTCCTCCTCTCCTGCCCCCCCACTGGCCCCCATCTCATCAGCTTTTTGCTCCCCAGGGAGGGTGAGGCCTTCCATGGGGGATCATCAAAGTTGGTCATATCATTTGGAGCAGGGCCTAGACCCTTCCCTGTGTGTCCAGGCTGAGAGAGTATCCCTCTGTGTGGAGTTGGCTCCCAAAGTCCATTTGTGTACTAGGAATAAAACTGATCCACTATCAGAGGCCCCATAGATTGTCCAGACCTCCAATTGACATCCACGTTCAGTGGGTTTGGAACAGTACTATGCTGGTTTCCCAGCTATCTGTGTGGAGTTCATGAGGTTCAGGTCAGCTGTTTCTGTGGGTTTCTCCAGTCTGGTCTTGACCCCCTTGCTCATCACTCTTCCCTTTCTACAACTGGATTCCAGGTCAGCTCAGTATTTAGCTGTAGGTGTCTGCTTCTGCTTCCATCAGCTACTGGATGAAGGCCCTAGGATGGCATTTATTGGAGAAGGGCATTCAAGGTAGCCTCTCCACTATTGCTTAGATTGTTATTTGGGGATCATCATTGTAGATCTCTAGACATTTCCCTAGTGCCAGATTTCTATTTAAGCCTATAATGACTCCCTCTATGAAGGTATCTCTTTTCTTGTTCTCCTCTAGTCTTCCTCTGACTCAGTCTTCCTGCTCCCTCATGTCCTCCTCTCCCCTCTTCTTCTCCCCTTCTCTTACTCCTAATTCCCTCTCCCCTCCCCACATGCTCCCAATTAGTTCAGGAGATCTTGTCCTTTTCCCCTTCTCCAGGGGACCATGTATGCCTCTCTTAGGGGCCTCCTTGTTTCCTAGATTCTCTGATAGTGTGGATTATAGGCTGATAATCCTTTGCTCTATGTCTAAAAGCCATATATGAGTGAGTAGATACCATGTTTGTCTTTTTGTGACTGGGTTACCTCACTCAGGATGGTTTCTTCTAGTGCCATCCATTTGCCTGAGAATTTCAAGATTCCATTGTTTTTTTCCACTGAGTAATATTCCATTGTGTAAATGCTCCACATTTTCTCTATCCACTCTTCAGTTGATGGACATCTAGGTTGCTTCCAAGTTCTGGCTATTACTAATAATGCTGCTATGAACATAGTTGAAAAGATGTTCTTGTTGTATGAATGTGCATCTTTTGGGTATATGTCTAAGAGCAGAATTGCTGGATCTTGTGGTAAACTGACTCCCGTTTTTCTGAGGAACCGCCTTACTGATTTCCAAAGTGGCTGTATGAGTTTGCAGTAGAGGAGTGTTCCCCTTTCCCCACATCCTCTCCAGCATAAACTTTCATTGGTGTTTTTGATTGTAGCCGTGCTGACAGGAGCAGGATGGTATTTTAGAGTTGTTTTGATTTATTTTTCCCTGATGGCTAAGGATGTTGAGCACTTTCTTTTGTGTCTTTCAGTCATATTAGATTCCTCTATCGAGAATTCTCTCCACTTTTTAATTGGATTATTTGGTGTATTAGTAACTAACTTCTTGAGTTCTTTGTATATTTTGGAAATCAGCCCTCTGTCAAATGTGGAGTTGGTGAGTATCTTTTCCCAGTCTGTGGACTGCCATTTTGTCTTGTTGATTGTGTCCTTTGCCTTACAGAAGCTTCTCAGTTTTAGGAGGTCCCATTCATTAATTGTCGATCTCAGTGTCTGTGCTACTGGTGTTATGTTCAGGAGCAGTCTCCTGCACCAATTAATTCAAGGGTACTTCCTACTTTCTCTTCTAAGAGGTTGAGTGTGGCTGCATTTATGTTGAGGTCTTTGATCCATTTGGACTTAAGTTTTGTGCATGCCAATAGATATGGGTCTATCTGTAGACTTCTACATGCCAGCATCCAGTTATGCCAGCACCATTTGTTGGAGATGCTTTCTTTTTTCCATTATGTAATTTTAGCTTTTTTGGTCAAAAATCAGGTGTCCATAGGTGTGTGGATTAATATCCGGGTTTTCAATTTTATTACATTGGTGTGCTTGTCTGTTTTTGTGTTAATATCTATCTGTTTTTAGGACTATAGCTCTATACTAGAGCTTGAAGTCAGGGATGGTGATGCCTCCTGAAGTTCCTTTATTGTACAGGTTTGTTTCGTCTATCCTGGGTCTTTTGTTTTTCCATATAAAGTTGACTATTGTTCTTTCAAGGTCTGTGAAGAATTATGCTGGGATTTGATATGAATTGCATTGAGTCTGTAGATTGCTATTGGCAAGATTGCCATTTTTACTATGTTGATCCTGCCTATCCAAGAGCCTGGGAGATCTTTCCATTTTCTGGTATCTTCTTTAATTTCTTTCTTTAAAGACTCAAAGTTCTTGTCTTTCACTTGCTTGGTTTACGTTACCCCAAGATATTTTATGTTGTTTGTGGCAATTTTTTAATGTTTAAAAATCCCAGTGAGTGGAAAGGGAAATGGAAATCCACAGTTGGTGATGCAATGATCTAATCAGACCGAAGTAAGAAATCCATGTTTCATCTGAGCAAAGCATTCCTGAGCTGCCCCAGGGGAACAGAAAATCAGGAATCAAGAGGTGGATACAGAAGTGGAGCCTCGAATGGTGTGCTTTTTTTTTCTATTTTTTAGAATTTTATTTAAATTAAAAACAAGTTTGCCTGACATGTCAATCTAAGCTCTCTTACCTTCCCCTCCTTCCCTGGAACACAGTTCTCCCTCACCTCAACTACAGGCTAGGGGCTAGAGGGGACTGAAGACTGAGGTGTGGCCAGACCCTGGGTGATCTTTTCTGGGAGAGCGGGTCGACTCTAGGTGCTGAGCAGGCCCAGGTAGATGGAAACAGAGGGATGTTGGGAGTTGGGACTCAGAGCAGAGCCACCACTCACCTCCAGTACAGGGCAGGGGCCGGAAGGAACTGAAGAGTTTGTGGCAGTTTTAAAGGGTGATGTTTCTCCGATTTCTTTGTCAGCCCATTTATTGTCTGTATGTAGTAAGAATACTGTTTTTTTTTAATTTTATTTGAGTTAATCTTGTATCATGGCACTTTGCTGAAGGTATTTAGCAGCTGTAGGAGTTCCCTGGTAGAATTCTTTGGGTCACTTATGTAAACTATCATATCATCTGCAAATAGTGAAAGTTTGACTTCTTCTTTCCCTTTGATCTCCTTTTGTAGTCTTATTGCTCTAGCTAGACTTCAAGTACAATATTGTAGAGATATGGAGAGATTGGACAGCATTGTGTTGTTCTGGATTTTAGAGGAATCACATTGAATTTCTCTCCATTTAGGTTGATGTTGGCTGTTGGTTTGCTGTATATTGCTTTTATTATGTTTAGGTATGTTCCTGTTATCCTTAATTTCTCCAAGACCTTTATCATGAAGGGGTGTTGGATTTTGTCAAAGGTTTTTTAGCATCTAGTGAGATGATCGTGTAAGTTTTCTTTCTCCGTTTATTTATATGGTGGATTACAGTGATGTATTTTTGTATGTTGAACCATCCCTGCATCCTGGGATGAGTTCTACTTGATCATGGGGCCTGATTTTTCTGATGTGTTCTTGACTTCGATTTTGAAAACAATACAAAGAATCAATGTAACGAAGAGTTGGTTCTTCAAGAAAATCAACAAGATAGAAAAACCTTTCTCCAAACTTACCAATAGGCAGAAAGTGAACTCACAAATTAACAAAATCAGAAATTAAAAGGGGACATAACAATGCACACTGAGGAAATCCAGAGAATCATCTTTGAAAATCTGTATTCCACAAAAATTTGAAAATCTAAAGGAAATGGACAATATTCTGGATAGAGATCACTTACCAAAATTAAATCAAGAACAGATAAGCCATTTAAATAGACCTATAACCCTTAATGAAATAGAAGCAGTCATCAAAAGTCTCCCAACCAAAAAAAGTCAAGGGCCAGATAGTTTCAGTTCAGAATTCTACCAGAAATTCAAAGAACAGCTAATACCAATTCTCTTCAAAGTATTACACACAATAGAAGCAGAAGGGTCATAGCCAAACTATTTTTATGAGGCGTCAATAACCTTGGTACTCAAGCCACACAAAGACACAACTAAGAAAGAGAACTACAGCCCAACATCCCTCATGAACTCTGATGCAAAAATACTCAGTAAAATACTGGCAAATCAAATCCAGGAACACATTATTTATTAATTCTTTTAAATTTCATTTTACATTCCAACCACAGTTCTCCCTCCCAACCCTCCTTCCAGCCCCTACTGCCTCTCCCACAGCCCATCCCTAGTCCATTCCTCCTTATTAGTAAGGGCTCCCATGAGGAGTCAACAAAGTGTGGCACAACTGGTTGGGGCAGGGCCAGGTTCCTCTCCCATGAATTAAGGCTGAGCATGGCATCCCACCATAGGGAAGGGGCCCCAACAAGCTAGCTCATGTACCAGGATTATATTGTAGTCCTACTGCCACTAAGCATAGCCTCTTACCCTAAGGAATGAGCTCCAACAAGCTAGCTCATGTACCAGGTTTGTAATGTGGTCCTACTGCCAGGGTCCCCTCCGATAGTTCAAGCTTCACAGCTGCCTCCTACATATTGAGGGCTTAGTTCAGTCCTCTGGAGTCTCCATAGTTGTAGATCTAGAGTGCATGAGTTTCCACAAGCTTGGCTGAAACATGAACAGAGCTTTCCCTATTCAGTTTCAGTTCTTCCACAGTTATACACAGCTGTCTCTGTAGATTTTTCCAACACGATCTTGACCTCCCTTACTTATATATTCCCTCCTCCATCTCTTCTGTTGGATTCCTGGAGCTCGGCCTGGTGCTTGCTTGTGAATCTCTGCATCTGCTTCCATCAATTACT